TAGAAGCATATGAGAAACAAGAAAAAGGTGCACACTCACAGCGCCCTGCACTTTATTTTTATTGGAAACAAAGTAAACATCAAAAAATCATAAAAGGCTTGTCATATAGGTCCTTTAGACCATTGTAAAGTACAACAACAGGTATCATACAATACCACTGAAAAAAGATATGATAGAAAAATTCTATCATTGCTACAATGTAATGAGGTAGAAGCATATGAGAAACAAGGAAAAAGTGTACTACCACCATCCCCAGCTCTCTTGAAATACAAGTCAAGGGTTTGCCGGTCGCCATGCATTCCCAGATACCGTCCGGCATAGCCACACTACGTAATCGCTTCCATAAAATGGTTGCAAGAGATCCGCCTGAACCATAAAAAAGTGTCCCCTCTGAAAACGCAGGACAAAAAACAATTCTTCAAATGCAGGGTCACAACCCATTTTCCAGCGGCAGGAAGGGTCACGATTTCTTGTATTTTTGCATTTTTTGTGAATTTTTCTTGTAGCGCTTTCATAGGAGGGTGAAGATTTTTTGGTGATCTTTTCTGGTAGCGCTTTCATATGGTGATTCCGTGGCAGGCACAACACTTTGAGCACCTTGCAGATTTCGAAGCGCGGTACTTTGCGCACTGGAAGTGCAGATTTTTGTTGCAGGCGCAGCACTTCGTGAGGCTCGACGTGCAGACTTCGTGGCAGGCTCACCACTGCGCTACACGAACCTCGAAGTGCAATCAAGTGCAGATTTCCTGGCAAGCGCAGGTGATGACCCTTGACAATCATCTCTGCAACTTCATATGATGAGCACGATGAGGATGACGATGACGACGACGGTGATGCTGATGATGGTCATGATGATGAGGATGATGATGATGATGAGGAGGAGGAGGAGGATGAGGATGAGGATGAGGATGAACGTGATGATTCCGCCACAAGTGACAGGGCCAGTCTCGAAACGGGTGTTTCGTGTCTCGTCTCAGTGCTTCCAAAAGTGCTGGGAAGGTCATTCAAGACTTGTTGCGCTTGTCTAACAGTCTAACACTTCAGAGCTCACGCGTGAGTGAATGAAGCAATCTCCTTGGCTCCCCCCGATCCTAACCTAGACTATCTTCCCAGGGGCCATGTTCCACTTTCATGATTGTTTCATGGAGGGCAAGGGTTTTGATGGTTTCTACCGTCTCATCCCGTATCAACAGTTGACAGTTGGGAGGTGGGCCTGCGGTTTTCAAATGAACCAGAGCGCAACGCCTCATTAGTGCATTGCTCACTTTGCACATCTGGAGGGTTGTGTTTCATAATCATGACAACATGTGACATGTGCACCATTTGCACCAAAGCCAGTCACCAACCTGAACAACCGAAAACCTTTCCTTGCACGAGCAAAAAGCAACCATCTGACCAGCAAGCACCCTCCCAAATCCAGAAAATCAACATGAATCCTTCTCCTTCTCCTTTCGCCACCAAATCGACGCTCCCCCTTCCCTTCCCAGATCGACCCGCATCGACGCGATCAAAGGAAGAAAAGACCCCCACCGCGAAGCCTGAAAAAGGCCACCGGGCCGCTTCGGTCCGTGGCCCTGGAATCGCGCCTCGGGCGGCACCGTGAGGGGCCGATTGGCCTGGCTCAGGAGGACGGCACCATGGATGCTCGCCACCTGGGAGCGACACTTCGGGGAAGATCCATCCAAGGGGTGAAGGCAAATGCGAGACAAAGGGCGGGATGGGAGGAGGGAGGGAGGGGGCGGCTGTGGGTGGAAGGAGCCAGCTTAGGAGGAAGGAAAAGAAGAAAACTGCTCTCTGTGTTCGAATCGGAACCTGAGAAAGGACACCAGGCGACACCAGGCGACCCGAAGCAGGTCCGACCCGAAGCGACAGCAAGCGACCCAGACCAAGTAGCCCAGACCAAGCACTCAAGCGGCACACTGCTGTAGACTCTAGTAGACTCTACCAGGAGCCAACCAGCAGCAACAGCAGCAGCAGCAACAAACAAACTAGGAGCCAAAGATCAGCAGCACCGCCCAGCAGCGGAACAAGCAGCGTTGCTGATAGCCATCTGCCACAAGCACAATGCTGACGCAAATGATGCCACGAACTTTACTATTGCATCTTCTGCACCACCAGTTCATCCCAAATGGCCTCTACCAGAAAGAACAAACACAACTAAGTTTCCAGGGCTTGCGAATTGGTTTGCTTCATCTCCTATGCATTCTGTTTTACGAATCATGCACATGCAGTTGATGTGGGTTCTTACTGTCGCGATTCCAACAAACTGTTGGGACAGCAACAGCCCCGAGTAACCCTAGTAGCGATGGCCTCCCCAGTAGCGATGGACATTACCTTTGGTCACAAGAACCGAGTGTGGTCAGGATCTCTGTTTCCCGACGTCGACACACATCTCACGCCAAGCCACATAGGCGTGCAAACACTTTCCTGGCCAGCCGCTGGACCTGAAAGTAGTGATGCCCTTGTTACTAGTAGCGCTGCCCTTGAGCCCCAAGTCGCTTCTTGTTCCTAGTAGCTACTTGCTCCTAGTAGTAGGGGCAGGAGCCCCTAGTAGCGTCCTTGCTCCTAGTAGCGATGCCCTTTGCCCCTAGTCGCTTCTGGTTCCTAGTAACGCTAGGAGCTAGGTTCGTAGCGATTGTTCGCTCCAGGCAACTGCTTCTTTTCGCGCAGCGACACTCGTGTCGCTTGTCGCTCAGAGCGTCGTTTGGCTCCGCGGTCCGCTAGGTTGAAGCTGGAATTCCGTAATCCAGTCATGACTCACCGCTATGGTGGTGGTCAATGATGACCAGGTGGAGTAAAAGGAGTTAAAACGGAAGTTGATTGGCGAGGCTCAGCGGCGTTCGACAACCAATGGCTCGCTTGGCTCGCTCCGGAGCTCGGGCGAGCTCATCAAACTTTAGCGGAAGTTCACGACTCCATCTAGGTGTGGGCACAGGAATAGTCTACTCGGATGTCCCAGCCGCTTGCAACGCAAAAATACCATATGGTTTTCAGAGTCCCAAGCTCCTTTCACAACAGTCTGAGTCTATCCTGGTGACCCTATGGTGACCTCTCTTGTCAGCAGACCCTCATCACGCAACATCCTCGCGGCAAGACCCTCGCGCCAAGCCGCAGGATGGGGACGCTGCTTTGATCCGCGGGCGGCGTCGTCCGGGAATTCGGCCGCTCGCAGCGGCCCAGCTGGATCACGTCGAAGCCGGGGAAGCTATCCCTCCTCAATCGGTCGCGGCGGGCGTCGGCTGGATGGTCCGGTGGATGGTCCGGTGGATGGTCGATCGTGTGGCGCGCGATGCCATCGGGGTCCGTGTGGAAGGCCCACAGGCTGAGCGCTGTGCCAAAGGAACCATGACCAGGTTTCTTCCAAAGGTGGTTGTCACGGAAGGTTTCCCCTGGTCAAATTGGAATTGGACCTGTTGGAGTGTGGTGAAAAGTTTGGGTTTGGGGAGGTCCTGGTGGTCCAGCAAGTCTCTTGGCACGGTATGTGGGCGAAAATGGTGAGTGTTGTTGGATCTCTTGGTCGATGATTGGACCTGAGGCTCCAGTGTGTGCTTCAGCAATGAAAGATTCAATTGAAAGACGTCCACCCCGTTTGACTCATCAAACATCCACGTGACTGTGCGCGTGGATATGCAATTAAATTGATCTTTAGCACTGCAACACCCCCAAAAACTCCACATCTGACTCTCTCAGTGTCCCTCGCAAGCGGAGGTTAAGCTTTTTCATTGTTGTTTCACCTTTTCGTGTTTACTGGCAACACCAATCCCCGAAGAAGGTCAATTAAAGGTTATCCACTGACTGGGTATGACATAGGGCGAGTCATTCCACCTCAGAAGGGGTAGTGCAGAAATGGCCGCTCCTTTTCTAAGCCGTAAAGGGGCTGAAGTATGTACGTTTGTACATCCCGACACCCCCCTTGAAGCTTTACGAAGGGGCACGCAACTTGGGAAGCTTCACGCTGGCCCTCCTGTGGGGCAGCTCTTGCACAAGCTCAAAATGTCATGTTGCCGGCTCCTCTGGGCCAGCCTTTGGGCGCGTAAGGTCAACATGAAAGACCTCACGTCCTTCCAAGTGGAAAACCTTGTTGAACTTGTCCTGCCGAGCCGCAGGCTCAAGCCCCCCATTGATCTTCCCGACCAGCGACAGGAATGCCATCAGCATCAAGGCTTGCAGCAGCAAAAGCCATCCAAAGGCCACTGCCATGTCAGTGAAAATCCACTGGCTGAAGCCGCCATTGTTGTCACTCTCATTGGGCTCTTGTCCATCCCTTGCTCCCTCAGCGTGTTGCAGCATCATGATCAGGGCCGCGATCACTGCCTTCTTGTTGAACTGTTGAACTGGTAGCGCACCCCATCCATGGTGCCGATCTTCGGCATTGCTCGCAGCTTGTGAAAACGCTGGACGGTCAATGCCTTGGTGCCAAAGTCAGCCGTGTGGTCATTGCTGGGCACAGCATGGAGAGAAAACAACTTCCTCTGCAGAGCTTCCTGGACCCACAAGCTCTTCACCTCAAGGTGGCGAATCCTGCCAACTCCTTGCCGTTGAAATACTCCACGAGCTGCACTGGAATCCAGGTAGACCTCCATGGTCACTGGGTGCCCTGCAAAGGTGAGGATCTCCTTCAAGAACAATCTTTCAGTGCAAGCTGCCACACCACACACTAAACATAGCGCAGGCACACGACTTGCGGGTCTTCTTGCAATTGGCCCAGTCTGTATCGGAGTGGACCACCAAAGTGGTGATGCCCCCCCTTTGCTCGAGCCAGATGCCATACTCCTTGGTGCCTTGTGGGTATCGGGCCAGTCGATGTAGTTTTGCCATACTACCATCGTTCGGCTCCTTCATGTCCTTGGTGAGCTCTCGAACAGGTCATAGCTCAAGTAGAGGGCAATCCCAACTCCTGCCCTGTAGAGCTTGGTGTTGGCCTCATTCAGCTTGGCTCCATCCTACATCTCCATGGACGTATGGTGTATAGGTTGCACTGCTCCAAGTTCAGCATCTTGAGCAAATCGGTGATGTACTTTGCTCTTGGCATGATGAAGATGCCATCATTGAAGATCTCTCGAGTCCGCTTCAAAGAAGTGAACTTCTCACCTTCCACCAGCGGGTGGATCTCGCTCTTCATCTTGATCCTCAGGCGCAACTCCTTCTCCAACTCCATGAGGGACTTCTGGGGTCCTGTCGCAAAGAAATCATCCGTATGAACCTCCATCAGGATGCCCTTGGTGGCGTCGTGGAAAAGCCATGGGGCTGCAATGTTCCTGATGAATCCCAGCTCCTCTAGGTGTCCAGCTACCCATTCCACGAAACATTGGCCTGCGGTCCTTCGGCCATACCACTCCTTCTTCTCTGCGTCAACGAGTAGCCCATCTTGATGCCAATCACATCAACCAGCCTTGACGTAGAGGTGCTTGATGCCACAGCAAAGACATCTGTCCTTGGTCCTTGGGTCTCCTATCTTGAACTCGCGAACACAATAGTGGCATCGAACTGCACCATCAGGCTTTCTCGCTTCCACCCAGGTGGCGTCCAGCACCTTCATCCCAGTCTCGTAGGGGGACAGGCTCATAGGTGTCATACCTGTCCATCTTGCCATACTCAACCACGCTCCTCCTCACTCAGCGGCTTGCTTTCTTCATCCCCTGAGTCAGCTGCTGCCATCTCCACATCCTCCTCACAGACAACCATGTCCTCGGTTGGGGTGTAGAGTGCTCCCGCATAGACTCCTCCCACGCGCGCACGCTTGTCCAAGCCTCCTTCGACTTCTCCTCCAGGCCAGGCACGTCTCCATTGGGGACTTGTCGATGACCTTCTCAGTCTCCATCGCCTCAGTTGAGGGCTCAACAATGCTGGCAGGCTTCTCAGCCACAGGATGGGCTCATCCTGTCGTCCGCTGAGAGCGGCCTCAGGCTCATCAGTCTCCTCCTCCAAGGGCTTGGTCTTGGCCTTGTACGGTTTCCAACTTCCTCTTCGCTCGGCCCTTGATCCCATGGCACTCCAATCATGGCCTCCATCAACTCACGGTCATGGGCTTTCGCAGGATCAGCAAATCGTCTCACTGTCCTGGCACACACGGTTCCATTAGGCATGCCGAGGAAGTACTCATTGCTGGTCACGCTCTCCTCCCAAGGTAGATGCCCTTCACCCATGCCGTCTCTCCCTTTGTCATCACATTTCTCCCATGCGCCCTTCTGGCCTTACTCACAGGAGTCTTGAAGAGGATTGTCTCCGCAAACGGAATGAGAGGTGAACTGCACTGGCAATCGAAGGCGTACTGATAGGCTGTCCGCTGGTTGGCTTTCACTGCATATCGACTTCTGATGACCGAGCAATAGCACACCAGCCAAGGCCAAAGATTGTGTGAGGTGTGCAAAGTAATGCCGTACTCTGCTTCCACGGCATAGCGCAATGTGAGCACATCTCCTCTCAACAGCTTCTGGAAGACCTCTTCGAAGATGATCTTGAGCCCAGCTGCTCCTGCTTAGGGCTTCTGGAATCTGGCCTTTCACCTTCTTGATGGCTGGCTCATGGTCAGACCTCAGCTTCACGGTGTCGTAGCCCAGCTGAGCGATGAATGAGGTAATGACCTTCACCACATAGGGAATTCCAAGATTCTTTGCCGGGATGCTAATCCCGTTCCAGAGTCCACTATGGACAGGCTGGTGTCGCTGCACTCTTCAAATCTCTCGGCCAATGCAGTGTCTGTCTTCAGGAAGGAGTAGTCGAGCTCGAAGTGGTTGTCTCCAACTCAAAGTGCGCCTCTTGTGCGCCACTTCGACTCCATGGCCTCAAGTGCAGAATTCACACCATGGTTGAGGTGGTAGGTGTGCTTCATCTCCTCATCACTGGACAATCTGCACCTCAGCGCCTCTCCCTTCTCTCAAGGCCTGCTGGCGCTCGCTCTGCTTCTCCATATAGTCCCGCGCTGATGCCCTTCTTGCATTCAAAGCAGCTTCTCCTTTCTTGAATCGAGTCCACAGGGTGTGCTTGTCGCCATAGATGGGCTCATCTAGTTCTTTCAGCCTTGCCGGAGGTCTGCCACCTTGCTCCAGCCGTGTTGCTTCTGGCGGTCAGCTACGAGGCACGAGCAAACTCTTCAGCCAATGGAACCATCTCTATGCCTTCTTCATCATCATCAGCACCTGCGAACTCCCATTCATACTGATCTCCCTGACTCACCACTGGCGCCTCGTCATCCACAACCTTGATGTAGTAGGAGTTCCTGTGGATGTAGAGAGGAATCCTGAAGGAAATCTCAGGGTGGATGAGGAAAGGCTTGAACTTATTCCTCATGTCGGCCACAAATCCACTCTTGCTCATCTTTCCCACAGACAGCACATCTTTGCTTGCCTGTTCACTCACCTTGAACTCCGTGATGGCGTTCAGGAAGTTGCCGTCCTCGCCAATCTTATAGCTCACCCGCTTCTTTCCAAGCTTGACAAGGCTCGTCCAAGAGATCCCTAGCAGCTCAGCCTTGCACTCTTCGGTGCGCTGATGTCCTCCAAATGAAGGCTGGCAAAGATGCTCATCACTGCCAGAATCCCACAGGAGGTACTTCACAGAGGCGCCGCTAGGCTGGGAGAATGGTGCTGCTGCCTAGTGCTCCCGTAGGTGATGCAGGTGCTGATGACGTCGATGTAGTGGCTTGCACTGCATTGATGCTTCCCTTGCCTTTCCCTTTCTCATTGTCCCTTCGGGTTCGATCCCTGGCAAGCGATCTGCAGTCTGCCTTCTTGTGCCCCCACTTTCCACAATAGGAGCACTCGCCATTGAACTTATTGGGCTGTGATTGCTTGCCTTTGCCCTGCTTGTCGTACTTGCCGCCCGTGTTCACTCCCTTGTCGCCCTTGCTGAACTTGCCTTTCTTGCCTTTGTCTCCATGGCTGATTGCTCCAACATCCATAGGTGCAGGCCCACCATCGTCTTTAGCCAAGGCACCACCAGTCCTGTAGATGTTGCCGGTCTGCAAGTTGTCCCTGATGAACTTCTTGGCCTTCTCATAGTTGGTACCAATCCGGGATCCTGCAGCTCGCATTGCATCCTTCACAGGACTTGGGATCTGCTTCATCAGGACAGCTCCCCTCATCGATTCGGACACTGTCTCCTTGGACTGCATCTCATAGCGTCGGACCAAGACCTCCCAAGTCTCAATGGTCTCGAGCAGCTCATTCTCCTTCACATTCTTCCAGTCCGCAGCGATGATGGCGGTCAGCATGGCCATGCGTCGGCCTCCCACTTGGGGTTCATAGGCATCACACAATGCCTTCCAGGCCTGAAAGCCATTGGACCCTTCCACATTCATCAGGATGGAGAGGGCGCGTCCATCAACACTCTGTGTCAGGAGGTTGAACAGCACGGTGGAGAGTGGCACTCATGTCGACCAACGCCAACTCATTCAAGCTCACTGCATTCTCGGCGGCCTCAAGCATGCCGCGGTAGGCCTGGTCCAGGAGGTGGACGTAGCTCCTTCCCACAAAGACCCATGCTGGCCAGTCTTCGTCTCTTCCACTCACTAAAAGTCTTCAGCTTGCCGATCGCCTTGGTATCGATCAGCCTTGGCCCAGCCACACATAAAGGTAGAAGTGGATGATGTGGGCTCTCAGCAGCTGGCGAAGCAAAGCCCTGCAAAGCGGCAGCAGCCTCCTCAAGGAGTTGAGGAGGTGAACGGCGCAATCGACATGCCGATGCCACCACACAGGAGTGTGGATTTTTACGCCGAGCCCACGCCACAGGTTTCAGTGGGACTTACAGCGTGCCCCCACACCGCCGCCCCGAAGGGACTTACCGTCGGGATCACAGGGGGACAGGAGCTGGAGCGTATAGCTCCGCTACCATGCAGAAATGGCCGCTCCTTTTCTAAGCCGTAAAGGGGCTGAAGTATGTACATGTACAGAAAGCTTGTACATCCCAACAGGTAGTCTTTTTGTGCATGGTCATCCCAAAGAGTGTAGCATCCACAAACAGCAATCAGGTCGTTCTGTTTGGGTGCCAAACTCAAAAGACATGTGGGTTCTGGGCCAATTTCCCAACAAGCCAACCCATTTCCCAGCAATGTCACCCCCGAAACCCACACAAAAAACCAGCAGTGCTGGAAGAAGCGTCGCCACTTCAGCCAGTCGGGCGCTGAAGTTCTTGGCCAGCTTTGCGTGATCTTCCTGAACCGCCCAGTTCAGCGCAGAACGAACGAGGCCGAGCCGGGCGAGCCGTTCGCAACCCAACCGGATGGCCCACACGTGGGGGCCGAGAGACCGCCTGCACGGAGCCGTGCGGTGATCTGAAGTGGCGATCTACCAAAAGAAGGTTGAAGAACCCTATATGATTTTTGTTATATATATATATGCTCTATCCTATAGGTACCCCAGTAGGGTCCTATAAGGTCACTAAGCCTCTCTTGGTAAGTTGCAAGAAGAGCGAAAGAAAGTTGCAGTGGAGATTCGAGAGGATGAGACCGTCGAAGCCAAAGAAAAAGAACCGGTGGGAAATTCCGGCATTCAAGCTGGTTGACTTTTGCCAGCAAGGATCATCCGGTCTGCTAAAGGAGAAAGCAGCCACATACCGATTAACATCAGCAAACACACAGCAAATGGCCCTGGCACTAGTTTCATTGAGCTAGTTGGAGCCTGCCAGACACTGTCGAAAATGTTTTAAACAATTAAGAATCACCCTCTGCGCAGACTTTGAGCCGCGCTGAGCATGAACAGTGCCTGTTCCCTTGTTGGTGCAAGCATTGGGTTCCAAGCGTGCAAAACGCCTGTCATGTGGTTTGCATGCAGGTGCAGCAAGCCTTGCTGAAAAGACATTATCCCGGTCATTTCAAATGACTCAGACCTGGCCTGGCAGAGATCAGCGCAGGCACCTCGTTTCCGGACTGGAGTGGATTCCTGCAAGGCGCAGCAGGGTGCGAGTGAAGGATGGGGGGGGCGGCAAGCCACATCAGCCGAATGCCTGCCTTGCAGGAGGAAATGATGACTTGTTCCACTTTTTCCAAAGCAGCAACCATCATCAAAGAATACCAGGGAGGCACATCGACACGTCCCTGTTTGTTTAGGACGCGGCATTCTGACCTCATGCTCTGGTTGAGCTCCATCCTCGATTCAATGATGACATCATGAGCATGCTTAGAGCACCACTGGCGAACATGCGCGTAGCGCTGGTGCCACTGATATTCGAATCTGTGGCTTGCAAGCGCATTCCAGCTGGCCACTTTCTCCTCATCATCCATGAAACTGTGCAGCAAGCAACCAGTCATATGGGCCTGGTGCATGTGCGTGTCAGAGATGGGAGTTGTGGCATTGATGCAATGTGGCAAAAGCTGGGGAGTGCCTTTGTAGCCGGTACACGACACCACACAGTCAAAGTGTTCACCTGGAAATGCATCACAGCTCACTGTGCCATCCGAGTTCCTCGAGTACTTGAAACTGTTGGCATCTCCCTGAACACCATAGGCATGAAGCATCAGGTTCATGAACACAGCATCTGAAAGTGTGATGATGCCTCCACGTGTCTTCTCCCTGACCTTCTTACAATTTGGATTGCCCACAATATACCAATCCCAAGAATCCAAGTCCTCCAACTCACATTCCTTCTTCCAATCTTCAGCTGTCACCTCTGCACTCAGCATGGTGAAATGCCGATGTGGGTGGAAGAACATCACGAGGCTTGAAAAGGGACTGTTGAAGCTCCGGCGCGTGTATGCAGTCGGTGATCGGTATAAGCAGCGCACGCTATTGCGCTGGTGGGTCAAAAGCCGACAGGCATCGATGGAGGACTTGCCGCTCCCCACCAGCAAGACACCTAATTGGCGGCTTTAACCATCCCAATACAAATCAATTAAACGGGATGATCCTTCCCAAAAAAGACATGGAAAAGCAGAAAAAGAAAGCATCGAAAAGTAAGCCCAAACCACAACCCAGACACGTTTGCCATGCAGGCTCTCAGCATGTTGCCTCAGCTGACTGGAGTGAACTTCCACTGGGATGCCCAAGACCTGAGGATTTCCTCCATAGCCATCGAAGCCGGTGGCCTGCACGACGTGCCAGCCAAAGATGTGGCCACGATGGCCATGAAGCCCTGCATCTCTTGGAATGTAGGTGACCTTTTTTAGCTTCAACTTCTCTTCCAGTGCCACACTGGTCACTTCTCCAACGAAGTGTGCACTCACCACGCGTCCGGCGATCTTGCCAGCGTACTGGCGCACTTGCTCGCTGGAGGCTTGGTGCCTGGAATCGGTATGAGCCTCGGGCTCGTCGTAGGGAAGGCCTGGCAGAGCATAGCGATAGGTAGGAATGTGCAGCTTGACGTTGTCGGCAGCATCCCACCAAACTCCCCCAGCATGTTCCTCTTTTGAGACAAAGGCCATCTTGAGCGATTCATCCTTTCTCTTCAGAGCCCAGGCGATTCCCAAGCTGGTGAAGCCATATCCAATAAAGACAATGTCAAACTCCTTCTCGACCTACAAGGCTGCTGTTCGGATGTTGTGTTTGGACTTTCTTCCTTGCCTTTGCTTGGGCATTCTATAAGTGTGTGTGTGTGTGTTTGTGCGTGTTCAGGATGCCAGCTTACGCAAAACGAGGGTTCTTTGGCATACACAACCTTCTTTTGCCTTCTTCTGCAAATTGCAGTACATCTTTATAAACGTAGCTTTTTGCCCTTACTCACCTCCAAGTGGTTCTCAACCTGATCTTCATGGGTGTTGTCAAGATCGTCAAGGTATGTAGACCCTTCGGACGTGATGCGGATCTGGGAGTCGGCCGCGTCGTTCACCGTCAACAACCTCTCGATGCTTTTGAGCTGATCTCCATTCCCATGGGTGTCTTGGAAGTCAGCGCACAAGGACATGTGTCGTGGTGGGACTGAATAGGTCCAAAGTCCGCGGTGTTGAGGTTCTGCGGCCAAATGGCTAACAGAGAAGGTTGTTCGAAAACGTTTCTGCTTCACTACCGGCCTGCTTCTCTCTCTGGCCTTGAAATAGCTGATTCTTGCCCTGTGAATTGACGGAAAGGATGCCCTCATTTCCTCTTGAACAGTTCTCCCCTTCACCTTCTTCACCTTCTTCACCTTCCATCATGCCCTGTGCGGTGCTGGTGCCCGTTCGCCCAGCAGCCAAGGCTCAAAGATCATGGCGCAGGTCCAACCCTCGTAGACGATCTTCTCGTGAACACGTCGATGACTTAGGGCACGACCCAAGGTGCTGTGGCACCGCGCGATCTGATCGCATAAGCCATCTTGCAGCTTCCTCAGAGCGGAAAAGGCGGCATGAAGATTCAATGCACAGAATGCATATGCTGTTTGCATATCTGTTTGCACAGTTGCCGCAGCCGTGGTGTTTTCGCTCTTTTCAGCGGCTCAGCCAGTCACCCTCCCAGAAAAAACCAAGGATGGATGTGATGATCACTGATGAAGGACCTGATGTCCGTCCAAGGTCGAAGTGGCCTAGGCAACCGTTGTTGAATAGGCTGGAAGAAAAAAGGCATAGATGCATCCATGCAGAAAGAAATCACCAAGGTTGGAGGCCATCACTGGTAGGTTGGAGACCCTCCGAAGCACGAGATTCGTCGGATCCCCAACAAGCGCCCCGCACGGGGTGCGTCGGGTTCGCCGTGCTCGCCGTGGCACAGTTCGCGCTTCAGCTGCTCATCCTGTTCGGTGTCCACGGCCGGGAAGAAGTAGTAGTTCTGGATGCCAGCCTCATGGGTCATGTAGACTCTTGTTTGATAAACGCTCCCCTATGAATCAAGAGGATGTTCATTCCAAATGGGATGGGTTTATTGATCAAGAGTCTCCAGTATGGCGAAGGCAGGGCGGAAAAGTAGAAATCTCAGTTCTTTCACTGGAGAAAAAGAAGAAGGCTGAGAAGGTACAGAAGGCACTTCGGTGGTGTAGAAAGATCTCGGTGCAGCAGTTCTTCAGGAGTCACTCAACTCAAAATCGACTGCCTTCTCGAACTCCGCAACCAGCGCTTCTCTCCCAGGTTTGCCTTGGCCAACGGAGATCAGACTGAATGCCCAGTCATGTGAAAAAAGACTCACTTTGCATGTTTAAAGTATACAGATTTAATCAGATTTGGATGTGGGAAAGGCCTGTGGTTTACTTCTGTTTCCCTTGGTGATGCAACACCGAAGTTGACACCCAACGACGGGTCAACATGTTAGCCGCTGAAGTCTGAATCACACGGCATGTCAACAGGCTTGAACTCAGTGAGTAATTCGGCCTCACATCATCAAAACACAAACTCCACGTGCACTGCGAGGTCCACAAAAATTCGACTCATAACTTCATCTTCTTTCTAGGTCCCCCAACTAGACAAGTAGATAGAAACGCTCCTCTTCGACACATCCCACCACCTTCCTGGTCGGTCTTCGGTTCTCCTCCACGTGCGATTCGCGTTTTTGCGATCGATCTCGCGGTTTGGCCTCGGTCGTCCTCCAGGCTAATGGCGATCACGTGCTCAAACGGATCCTTGAAAAAGAAAAGGAACAAGAACGAGGACCAGGCACCTAAACTACTTTGCTGATGCTTAGATCTGATGTTTGCAGATGTTTGATGCTTAGATCAGATGCGTGCGTGAGCGCACCGCTGACCAAAGACTGGCGTTCCAAAGACTGGCGTTGACGGACGAAGCAGTGGTGGCCCGGCCGAAGCAGTGGTGTGCCTAAAAGCTGCGACCGGTCGTGCTGTTCCGACCATGGTCGGTCTCTGAGACTTTAGATTGGTGAAAGAATCTGAAAGATGGATTTCCGGAAAACTCAAAAACTCCAAGAGTCGCAAGCAAAGGGATGTGGAAGCTGCAGTCTCACTTCCTCTTCCTCAGCGCTTCGGAATGATTAACCAAACACCTCTCTTTCAAACTGGAAGAAGTGACTCTGGTATTCACCCAAAAATTTGGGGCCCCTTTCGCTGGGTCGGCTTGCTATGCTACGTTACTTTGGTGAAGGGTATCGGTTCATCCACATCGCTGGAATTCGACCGGTTCGGAGGACTGGACCGATGACTGGACTGTGGCCTTCCACCTGGAACCCATCCCACAGAGTTGCGTTTGAAGGTCGCTACATCCACGCAGCCCGGACGGGGCGAGAGTGTGTTCGAGAACCAAATGACTCGGAAGATCCATGGAACTGGAAGACCACCAGCTGTTGTCTACAAAATACAGAACCCCCTCCATCTACCAGCCCCCTCCATCGTGGGTGCGAAGGCGAGCGCAGAGTCTGCGCCGAGCCGATCGCGTGGCGGTTCTCGGCCAAGTCTCAGGGACCCGTTCTAAGAACTCGCCACTCCGCGGCGCGGAAGCCTGGAGAGCGGGAGAGCGGTTGGAGCGAGCGGTTGGAGGGGTGTTCGAATCCGTGTTCTGCACGGAACACGAATCTCATTCCAACGTGAGAAGGGGGACGAAAAGCCAGCCATCATGGGTCGTCGCCGACTTCGACTGACGCAAGTCTCTTTTGATAGCTGCACCACAGCAATAGGACCCTTGACTAAGCAGGACATAGCAAATGCATCTTCGAGCATTTAATTCCAATCTTGCAAGCCATTGCTTGCGATGCATTTTGGCGATCTGTGTGGGGGGAGGCAAAACTGACAAACTTGTTAAACGCAGGAGTTTTGCCCGCCGCTGGGGATGCAGGCGTGGAACAACACGTCTAGATACCAAGGGGTTGGAGTTGCTTGGTTGGTGCCCTCTTGCGCTGTGTTTGAGAGCCGCCTCGGGGGAAAAGGGGCACCTCGGAAAAAGCAGCTCTAAGCCTAAGCACCAAGTTTCCCCAGAAGAAAAAAAGTGAGCGCCCGTGTCGGGGCTAAAATGCTACTTCCGAAGAGAGCGGCTAAAACGCTTTTCTTCGACCCTCTGCATCTGGATCTCTGTGCATGGCTTGACTTCGCGCATGGCTTGACTCGATGAACGCAAAAGAAAAGACTGCAAGTCATAACGGCTTTATGGCTCTCGACAAAGTCACCAAGGCACCCCAAAAAGATGGAATTATGCCAAATTGATGATGCAAAAGATGCCGTCATGCCAGTATCAACCGCAGCTGCATCACTCGTATCACAAGAGCCCTCAAAATGAAACTTTACAACTTGACTCTTTTTTTGCTATCCTCCAGCAGGCTCTGGGTTCACCCTTCCAAAACCTGCCTCTTTAAACCTACCGCCCGGCCCCCTCCCCCAAATACCTCCTATTATTTTCACTTCGCTCGCCACACAGATTTTTCCTGGATGCGAATTAGATTGATTGGATAGCTTGGTGGTGGGTAGATGGCAATTGGAAAATGGATGGGCTTAATAGTTGCCATGACACCTAAAGCCTTCCTGCGACAACTATGTCGAAAAGTCACTAGAAGATCTTTTCTTTGACAACAAAAGAACCAAAAAAGAAAGGCATCTATCTTCGAAGAGCCCGTCTGCCGGCACTACCGGCAAGCAGGCGAGCTATAATAGGTGGTGCGCTTAGCAGATTCCTTCGATTTCACCCAGCTTGACCGATCGCTCCGCAACCTGTTACGCTCCAAGACATGTGGAGAAAATTCGCAAAAAGAAAGAAATGAAGCGAAGCTGCTGATTTGGAATGCAAAGCTCTTCACGACCTGCGACGGACCCTTCACGGCCTTCGGAGCCGCCGTGGTCGTCTCGGACGCCGTGGCGTTTTCTTCTCGGCGCGACGTCAGTTCGCTGAGGCTCGGCAGCACGCAGCGCTTCGCGGTGCCCTGTGCAGCGCGGAAGCGGTGATACGGTGAGTCACTGCCATATGGAAGAGGGTGGGAAGAAGGTGAAAGAGGAAGGGAGAGTGCAGTCTGCAGCTGGAGAAACCAAGTGACCTTTGGGTAGATCTGATAGATTGGAGAAAAAGGGAAAAAACACACCAAACCACACCGCTTAGCCATGTGAAGCTTCCAAGTAAATTGATTAAAGAAACACCAAGACCCCATAGCTGCCATAGCTGGAAACTTCCTTCGAAGATTAAGGCCCAAGTTCAGTCAAATCCAAAATGACGAATTCCAGCCGATGGTGTCAAAAAGTATGTCACGTGTAGAGTCTCATGTGTAGAGTCTCATCTAGTCCTTGATGGGTTGAGAGATTCGTTCGTGCAACACCAGGATTGTGTGCATGACTGCAGTTGACCAGATCTAGGCCTCCAAAGTCGGAGATTGGGTACAACGAAGCACTGATGAACTCAAATGGATGGGTTCATTCCATTGCATCACTTGATATCAAGCATAGAACCTCCTACCCATCCTCAAAGATATCCTACAGGACTTGTCCCACAGGACAAAGGAAAACTGAACTTTAGACATCCCACCCCCTAACACCAGAGATCACCTTCCAGCACGCAGAGCACGCCAAGCACCTCGCACCTTCCGCTCGCACCTTCCACGTCGAATTCGACCTTCGCTCCCAAATCTTCGGGTCCTTCTCCGTGAGCTCCGGAAGGAGGAAACCGACAAAACCGGCAGAGACATACAGGACCTCCGAACGGCACGAAACAAGTGCTGGGCTGCTGAACCAGTGCGAGACCAGAGCTTCCGCGGGGCTAGCAGGTGGGTGGTCAAAGGACGCATCCGTTTGCAGGGCATTGGCTTCACTTCTGGAACAAGACAATGCACCATGATACAAACGAATCCTCCACGATGTTATACGAGGTTATACGAAGTTGGCGTGGTTTCGGCCTGATGTCCTCCACGAAGTTACGGCGTATAATGAGGATTATCTGGGACACATTCCATGGTCTTCTGGGATGCCGAGTACAAGTCCGGAATCCGCTTGAACGAGAGCCGCTTCGTCGCGGTGGCGGAAGAATTTCATCTTTGCCGTGCGCAGAGTCGGGATTCAAACCATTATTAAAGTGGTTTCAGAGTAGAATGCACAATCCCCAAGGCTGGTGGTTTAGAAGAACCCACCATCTGTCGGCATACATCTACTCTGAAACCATGTGCTCGTCTCCGTCCGGCGAGAGGCCCAAAATCGGCCACAAAAAAACATTGCATGGATCTTGAGCGTCGATACTCTTGTTTCCATCGTTAAGTGGTTGATGGATACTCCAAAACGGGATAATCATGATATTGACCGTAGTACAAAAGGGAAAACAAACGTTTATTGATGCCAAGGCAGGAGGCAAAATATCCAATGGGTTTCATCACCTCATCGTTCTCGTCATGGCGATGAGAGCACGCATGAAGTGATCAAAAACAAACGAAGAATGCTGATCCTTCTGGCCAGAAAAAAGAAAAAAAATTGTGCGTTCATGGAACAACTACCTAGAACCTGAGTGACCTCTGTTTTGATGGAAAAAAAAGACCCTATTTTGGGTGGTTTAAGGGGTTTGTAATCCAAAATAGAGGTCACTCAGGCTCTAGGTACACAAGTGAGATGGTGAGGTGGGTATTGTGGATGATGCGTTTTGGTTCGGCAAATCCTGAGCGCTGGGAGGCGTACAACAATGTGTGGTGTTGTTCTTGCAACGACTTGCAGGGTCATGATGTCATGCCAAAGCAAAGACTTGATCTCATGTCTTGAGCCGTTCGCACGGCTTCGTTCGTTTGACTCGTTCGTTTGCATGAGTTCAGCCGAAGCCCACCGAAGCCCACCACTGCCCCGGAAGTCTCGCCAGCCGTTTCTCAACGGCCAGTCTCGCTTGCCAGGTGTGGGCCAGCTCGGATCTCCCGACTGGGAAGTCTCTTATTGAAGATGAGTAACATGAGAAGAATCCAAGAAACAAGAAGTAGTATAAAATTGTACTTATATAGATACATTTAACATGTTGTACCTTTTAACGTTCACATCCATATGTTAACATCTGAAAAAATGGTCATCCATTTAAGGGGTCACTCGCAGTCGATCGCATGCCCCGAGTCTTCCAACTGGTTAGCGTCTTCCCTTCGTCGACTCTCTTGGTTCCAGGGAGTGTCAAAAGCTCAGCCCTTCGGCCTTCAGCATCTGAAAATGCAGAAATTCGTTCCATTCCATGTGTGTATCTGGAAAAACATATGACATAACTGTGTGTGACTCTCTATATATACTCTTAGAGTGTTATGAAGCCTGTGAGGACGCTCCTCAGTTCGTCCTCGGCCCCTGGCGGCTCCCGCTCCTTGAAAGCCTCTTTGGGCTCAAAGCGCTCCGGCCTCGGAACGTCGTCCAACCCCCCCCGCGTCGGGTGGTGTCAGGCACCCGGCAAACGCCGCGTCCTGGTCGACCGACGAAGAAAAAACGCCGAGGGTCGGTGCGCTCTCGATGAGTCGATGAGTCGATGAGTCGGTCGATGATCCGAGGAGGTCATGTGAGGAGGCGTCGTCCAGTCCAGCCATGACTCCGTCCAGACCGAGTTTGAGGGGTGGGATTCGTGACCCCGGTGGATTCCGGTGGAATGGACCATCTCCAGATAACTCAACCAGTCGGCTGGTTCTTCAAGCCCAGCTTTACAAAGAAGGAACTCCTTCGCCAAACCACGGTCACGCACGCCTTCTTCCTTCGTGTGGCGCGGAACTCGGCTTCACGTCCCATCATCGACGTCGACCCAGTTCCGGCAAAAAGTGGAGGCTTCCATGCCTCCTGATGCTGATGCCTTCATGCAATACATCGGTGCAACCGAAGATTTGGCGTTTGGCCCTCACATGGCCTCCCCTCCGGCCTTTCTGGCCCTGCTCCCCACCTGCCGGATGTACCAAGCAGGATTTCGAAAGAGATGAACAGTTCCAGTCTTGGTCCTACGGAGAATGTGCTCCCTCCCTCCCTGTCTTCTCAGCTCCCCGGCACTTCCAAATCATCCTCCACCGCTGGAGGGAGCACCAAAACTCCACGCGTGGCGGGCGTGGAGCTCGCATCTGCCGATTTCGCGGGGGCCGTCTGCGGTCTGGAAGGGCTCTGAAGAGGTTCTGAAGGAATTCTGCATTCTGCATCAGATGCGTTGAAGAAGTTTTGGTTCTGAAGGAATTGTTCAGCATCTGTTCGAAATTCTGTTCAGAATCTGCCGGCAATCTGTTGAAACCCTCTTCAGAATTTACTGTGTTCGGATTCTATTCCGTGGGAAGACTGAAAGTGCTTGCTTTCTGGATGCGGCCCAACCCTCCTCACCAATGGAGGGTTTGACGCTTAGCTTCAGGAGAGTGGGACACCAGCGGCAGACCAGGGACAGTCCTCGCAGGCGAAAGGAGGACTGAAAGACAAGAATGAGACCATGCTGTTGACAAGCTCATTGGTTGTTCATAGTCTGAACATAGGGACATGCTGCTCCTCCACCATGTGCTTCCTCCCGTGCGATTGCCCCCGTGCCCGGCCTTCTTTGGATGTCGAATTCTCCTGAGCCTCAGCTTGTTGCGCTCTTACGGACCATCTCACGGTATGCGTGGGAAGGGGGAATACCGGTAACCCGTCCCAAACATCGACTGCATTTAAAGGTCACAATTCCATTGAAAGTTCCTGGGATGTTCAACAAGACACTCGTTTGTACGAAAGCAAATGAAAGTGATTGTCCAGCTACTTCCAGATTCATGTCCACAACTGTCAACTCAAGGTCTCAACATATCCTAGTAGGCACCCCAATCGTCTGCATGTCAAAAAAAGATCAAAAGCCCTTTACATTTACAATAAACAAACAGCCCATTCAAAAAGCCTTTCAAGCAACGGCTTCAGCGTCCTAATCACCAAATGCCAATATCTACCCAAAGTAACACACCAAGCTTCCAAAATGATGTCAAAGTGGAGTATGACCCTATGTTTTGGTGTGACCATTTCGAGTGTTGTTTCCATTTTTTCACGCACAAAAACCAAATACGGTGCATGGGCCTTTGCCCATTCATCGCGTGTTCAACAACCTAGGCAAGCGCAAACAGGAGAAAAAACACATCCTTCACACGTTCCCGTTCGGAACAAAGAAGAAAACACCGCCGCACCGCCTCGGCTGCGAGTTGCAGTGCCCTGCAGGCCACCTTGGCGTGAGGGATGGGTTTGGATGATGGATGACGGAATCTATTCTCAGGTTGATTCAGGTTGATTGTTGATTGGTGATCACTTCCTGTGGACTGAATGAGTTGCAAGATGTTCATCGACCAGTGACTAGTGTTGATTGTGACTTGCATGGGTGTTGAATATTTAAACAGAGACGGTGGAGTGGAGTGTCCTTGTTGAGACCCCGGTCATCATGGAGCTTGGCACATCAACCGGCCACTTGCTTGACCATCGTACAACTGGCTCCATGCCAGAAATGTTCTTCTCCAAGTATTCAGTATTGGCTTCCCCAGCTTTTCCCTTCCCCACGCCAGAGAGGGATTGCTTTCTTTCCACCCAAAAAACGAACCCGGAGGCTGGTGAACCACCGCGTGTCGCCTCCGGCGTCGCGGTGACCGAGGGTCCTGGGCATCCGATCAGCGCCCGTGGAGATGAGCCAACCGCAGCAGGCGCTCTGCGCGAGGCCCTGGCAGTCTCTGGAGTCCGTGGCAAGGGGTAGTCACCCGTAGGAAAACCACCGAGACTGCAGTTTCTGGGCATGTTTTAAAAGAAAGAACGGAAAGAAATGTAAAGTCTAAAGTGTACAGGTCTTACGAAATGAAAAGAAAGGAACGAAAACCATATGTATAATAGAAAGTACATCAACCACATATATATATATATATATATATATGATAGTACAATTTGAATAGGAAGAAAACAATCAGAAAGGTGAGAAGTGAAGTCCACGGCCTGAAGCCCCTCCGGCCCCGAGACGGGCCGAGAGCCTCTAAGGAGCTCTTCAGCTCGTGTCGATTCTGCCGAAGCCGCTCCTTGAACGCAAGCGATGCCCGGGAGCGTGGATCACGCGGAAAAAGGGAAGAGAAGAACGTTTGGCAAATGCCAATGAAATCAGCAGCTCAGGAACGTAGTGCTTAGTATGTGGTAGTCGCGCCTGCGTCTTTCGGTTCTTCCAATGAAAGGAAAAACCATCAACGCAGCGACTGTTGGAAGTCACCCTTGTTTCAAGTCCCGGGCCCGGTCACGGGGACTGGGCCGCAAGCTTGCGGCGAGCTCTGAGTTGAACCCGCACAAAAGAAAATTTGAGAAAACTCATGGTGAAATCAAACAAAAAAAAAACATGTAAAGGAACTCTCAAAGAAACAGAGAGGTGTTATGGCTGGAAAAAAAAGAACCGGGGGCCTGGTTGATCATAAAAACCAACATGAACCAACACATTAAATTACCAGGCAGGTCAACCTACCAGCAAAATGGAGCTCCAGGTTTTGACCCACCGCCTTATCAATTGTCACCCTCGTGCCCCAAAGTGATTACCGCTGCGAATTCCAGAGGACATCCCTCTTCAGATGGAACTCTGGGTTTTTTCAACCAAAAGCGTCTTCCACCTTAAAGGTGGTCCCAGACCCAGTCCCCTTGTGGCCCCAGACCCCCTTCGACTTTCCACATCTCCTCAAGGGTCTTCGTCACCTGTCGGGAGATCTCTTGGAGCTCCGATTCGGCGTAGGCCAACTTCTCCTGGTTCCGTGACCTCGAGTCATCGGCGCGGGAGCCCCAGCGCAGGACGCCGGGGGCACAGGACGCCGGGGGCAGTTCGGGGACCGTCCGGGAACGCGTCGTCTGGCTTCGGGTCGGGCAAAGCTTCGGGCGCTCGGCAAGCCAACGATCTTCGTCGGGGTTTAGCAGTCCATGGCATCGGATGACAACTGAACTGCTGACGCATTCGTTATAGAGAAAGTTCATTATGTAGGCGCTTGATTCATAAAACTCCCACTGTAGGAAAAAGGCCGTTCAATCCATGTCTGGGGGAGGGTCATTAATCAAAAGTTACATAGTCCGCATTCCCCATCCAGAGTACAAACTGCTTCCCTTCTTTCACTCACTTCCGAAATTCCGAAACCCGAAAAAGAGTGTCCCTCAGAGACCAAGCGGCAGTCGGTGAAGTTGCTCTTTGGAGTTCCCTTTCCTCGGGTTTGCTGAAGCTGCACTCTTGAACAAAAATGTCTTAAATTCCTAGCAACTCGTAAAGTAGCAGCTTGATATTATCTAGTAGAATAGCCTACGAAGCTCAATGACTCAAAACATGAGCATGTCAACCGAAGCTCGACGCCCTTTCTGTTGTTTTTCTTCTTTCGTCCGGCCAGGTCTCCGTTGCTCTTCTCGGTCCTGGAACTCCCTCCTCGCCAACGAAAAAGTGACACAATCCGAGCGCGCTGTCTCCATATGCCAGGAGTCACGTCTTTTCCGGGGTGCCGAACGAACGGAGGTGCCC